TGCCTTACTCCCACTAGGCATCCAGAAAGCTGTAGCACTCCTCAAAATCAGGAATTTCCTCTGTAAAAATGGGTGATTTAAAAACAAACCCCAGGATTTTTTCTGTCCTCTTTATAACGTCAATAGTGGCAAAAATACACACAGTCAACATTATTTCCCCATGGCATGTCATCTGTAGCCCTACACCTTCTGGTTACAGGGAGTTTATATGAACTTGTGGCGAATTTTTGGAAGCCTGGACGTCCTCCCCCTCCGTGAGCACAGCTTGGCACCGGTAACGTGCTACTGTACGAACATCCCGTCATTTATCGCCCTGACTCTGAGCTACACCTGGGCTCAGCTCAGCAGAACTCAGAAACAGAGGTGACACCAAAGTTGTAGCCACACAGTGTTGACAGCACTGCTGGCAAAAAGAGATGCTGTTGCCTTCCTGCTGTCCTCAGCCACTTGTTCGGATGCACAAACATTTGCTTTGCCCTGTGGTGACCTGGATAAAGGAGGTGCAAAAGGACAGATGAGCAGCTGAGGTCAAGAGAAAGTGACTGCCTGCCTTTTTTAGCATCAGCACTTGCATATGCTGGCATAAGCTTTGTGGATCAGCAGCATGAGAAACCCTTGTGACACTTGTGGCCTAGGGCCATAATTTATATCATAAACACACAGCAATTGCCATACTCAACCAAGGTTTGGATGTATTGGAGGTACCAGAGCCAGGTACAAGTTGTTAGAGAGAGCACTGCACTATGCAGGCAAAACCAGCCTGTCCCTTAAAGATCTGTATACTGATTTCTAACAGTCTAATCTACCCTGTAAGCCAACAGATTTATTGTCCCTTTCAATCTCCACCCAAAACCTATTCAACCCTAAGTCTGGCTGAACAGACTCCCAGTAGTACATCCAAGGTTAGATGAAGCACAGGGACACACAATCTGTACTTTGTAAGAGTGTGACATGCAGCATCATGTCATGACGTCATGTCACAAAAGACGTGCTTCTCCCAGCTCTCTGTGCCTGGGTTATCCCCAGTACCCGGGACCGTCTCAGGGAGCTGCTGAAGATGATTTTCTAGAGAAGCAAACCAGAATCTATTGTCAGATGGACTTTTTTTTTCTTCACATGTAGAGATCGATTACAAAGTGTCTGTGAGAGTCCTGTGGTTTGCTGAAAAAGTCAGGCTTTATAAATGCTATCTGCTGTTAAAACTTGCTCAGAAAAAATTAAACAGATTTTAAACAAGTAAAAATTCATGGGGGCCTGGGGGCAGGTGTCAGCGCTCCCTCTGAGCAGCATCGCCCACACCTTTGCCATATACACAAGCTGTGGTGCTGTGTAGGAACCGGAGTAACTCTTCCCATGATCTTCTTCATCATGGCCATTTGGCTTCTTCAGAGTCCTGGAGCTGCAGAGGTGAGGTCCAGCTCTGAGAAGTGTGGGGAGATCCCTCCTCCGTGCCGGGCAGACTCCCCTCTACTGCGCTGAAGGACAGCTTTAGAAGGGCTCTCCAGATGAGCCGCCTAGGTCTGTGACAGATGCACTTCAGCGTGCCTTGGATGGTCATTGCTTTGCGTACCTTGATGGTTCAGAAATGTAACTACACCATTCTTAATAGCCTAAGGCAGTAGGTCACTTTGTGGACTAATAACCGGCAAGATGGCACGATCTAATTCAAAATGATTTTTAGACTTTCAGGAGTTAAACACAACATTTAGTAAAAGTCCCTTAAGATTAAACATATAGAGAGAGAGAAAGAAAGAGAGAGGCTAAGCCTTTTTCAGTTAAGTTTTCTCCTAGAAAGAATAAATGCTTATTGCTAAGCTATGCTGTAGCAAGGAGTCTGGAGAGGAGATGCTGGTATATAAAAGCAGCTGTAGCAGTCATTAGGCCACAGCCATGCATCTTTGCCTGGATCCAGCTGGGCCAAGGGAAGCGGTGGGTGCTATCACTCCGAAATCACGAGTGTTAATGGCGAATCCCTCCCTCTCTGCCAGGAGCGACCGTCCCTTGGCTTTGCTGATGGAGAGTCTTGTATTTCAGTCCAAGTGAGCTGGCTCAGTAAGACTGACAGTGGAAATGGATTAATTAGGTTCATCTTGACCAAAACAGGTCAGAAAACCCTCAGAAGCGCATCTCCCATGGCAAGCCTGGGGAGGGGGGGGCTGATCTGCCTTGGGGGTGCGCAGGGACGCACAGCTGGGACAGAGGGGAGGCTGGATGGGACAGCTTCTTCCAGGGATGGGCACAGCCACCTATCCACATCCCGAGTAACCACTACCGTTTTCAATGACAGATTCTCAAGAATGCGACAGACAAAACTCTGCTGAGGATCACCTCAAGCACTGACTATGCTCCTATCTTCATTTGGACACGCTGGGACAGCACTTTTTTGTGTATGTATTTACATATACACACACACCTGCATACATTTGAATGCACTGACAACAAAATAAGCAAACCCCACTGTATGTAATTTATAGGCTTATAAAGTAATTAATAAGCATCAACATGTATCAGTCTGTATGTGGCTCAAACCTTGTATAGTTAATAAGGTGATAGCTGATGGGTTAGAAAGAGCTAAATCGGGAAGAGATTCAAACCATTAAACTTTGGGAAGAATGACATCCTGTAAGCTTGGCCTACAATAATATTCAGATGAAAAAAATGCTCAAAGAATTAAGACTAAGTATATCAAGAGGGAATCAGGCTGCTTCCAATGGCTGTGAAGAGAAAGCAAACTGAAGCAATAAAAGATGACCAAGAAATCTCAGGGGCAGACAAAAACCGTACATAATATTTACAACACTCTTTTAATACAATTACACTGACCATTGAAAATATCTTTTGTTGAAACAGCACAAATCAGCTGGCACCCCAGAAAATCCAGCCCTCCCCTCCAGGTTGCCCTTAGCATCCTTGTGCCCACCTTGCCTTCTTCCAGTATAGAAGTAATTTCCAGGGAAACACGGCCTGGCCAGAGCATATCTGCATCAGCCAGGATATCCCCTGCCTGTGGACTCGCCTTGCAGCGTGCTGCTAGCAGAAATATGGGAGACAACTTCTAACAAGAGGAAAAGTATAAAGGCAGCAAAAAGCTGATAGTGAGCACAGCTTAGCCAGAGGAGAAAATGAGGGCTGCTGTGTATATAACCATAGACACACACCTGGCGTGTTTGCACACATCAGTCCAAGCCAATTCAGCCACCGTATGAAGTTTCACAGCATGGTTTATTCTACAAAAGAGAAGGGCTTCAAGGAGAGATGCTTTGCAGCAGTCCTCTGTGCACAGCACATTAAACCTGAACATTAAATACCGGTTTAAATTATTAAGAATAAATTTAAATTTAAAAATAGACTAATGCAAAGAAATAAATTTCAGTCAACGTTGGAACAGAGCTAGTTTTAGGAAGCATATTGCTATAGCAAATGCAACTCCTTGTTCCCTTGGACACTCTGAGACAACGATCTGGTAATTCCAGTTCAGCACCGAGATGCACATACTACCCAGCAAGCAAAAATTACCATCTCCAGCATATGAAGCTCCATGTTCACATTTTTCCTTTTTTTTCCATCACAACAGAAAAAAAAGCCAACATAGCACATTAGCTTTTCCCACAAAGCATCTGAGGTGACAAAATTTACTTGGAACATAAGAATTAACAAAAGCAGTACAAAGAAGAATCCTGGTCGCTTGTGACCACCGTAAGCCAAGATGGGTAAGAAAAAGAATAAAAAAATAGTTCAAATCCGGCACCACAAACCTTGCTCACTTTCTTTGAAATCAGGGAATGAGAAAAAAGGTCCATTTTGCTGAGACCGTTCCAACAAAGTTTTCTTTCCCTGAACCTGGAAAATCCAGGTATTAGGGTACAGAACTTTTGTTTTATACGTATATAAATACACATGTACATATTTATATAAATATAAAAGCAGAGCATCCTCCCGTTTCTCCTCATAATTTATTATTATTAAAGCTTGTAACAGAGTTAGCTGGACTCTTCAGAAGTGGGGACTCTCCGCACACACGTGGCACAGGGAGTTTAGCTCTGCTAGAGCAGAACAGCCAGGCAGGGACATGAAACGTTGGGTGACGGAGGTGGATTCGGGTGAGCAGCCAGGGAAAGGCAGGGAGCAATGACTGGAAATGGCTTCGCTCGCTCCAGGGCAGCACTCTGGCCCGCCAGAGCCGGTCTCCGTGAGCAGACGACTCGGTGACGGCGTGGGAGGATGTTTGCACCGACCCACCCAGCCCCTCGGCAGCCCAGCCGCCCACCCACCCTCTTCTGTACCAGCCACTGAAGAGGGACTGACCCTTGTTTTTAAAGGGAGTCCCAGCTTGCCCCCCAAGCACGTGCATGCTAATTCCCTTTGACAGCACTCCCCATCCCGCTGCCACGGTTCTTTTTGAGGACTTTTGTCCTCAAAGTCACCCGCGCCTTTCCCTGCCTCTGCTTTGTTCCCCAGCCCTCTCACCTGGTCCTCCCAGACCTCCTGCTTGCTGGCCAAGACCAGACACCTTTTTCTCACACTGTTTTACGTGAATGCCTTCCCAGAGTCTCATAAAACCCAATAATTTCCTTAGATGACCAAGTTTCTCAGAGGTTTTCTGCTCTTGAAAACCTCTGACTAAGTCAGGGCTGGTGGCACGCACTCCTTCAGTGGTGCTGGCTTCATTCCAGAGAGGGCAGGGGCAAAGTGCAAAAGATTTCTTGAAATCAGAAGGTATTTCCACCACCGACAGCTTGCTCTCCTTCATGTTATATAGCACTTGTTTCAAGTAAGGTATCATTCATGTGTCTCTGCAGCCTTCATTCTTCTCGGGGTGCGTGGAGATCAGTAGATGTCTACTGGTGACCAGCCTAGTCACTTCATCATGACACATGCTGGAACAGCTGAAAACATTCAAACCCAACTGCATTCTTCATAGCAAAAAGTGCTTTTCTTGAGAAACAAAATGAAAACAGCGTTCCCGTGGAACTTCTTAAGGACTCAAAAGTAGTATTTCCTAGGGTGGGAAGGATGGAGCACACCTACTTTATTTGGCTTTATCTCAGTAAGGAAATAGAGCTACTGGCAAAATTGGCACATCTTTGTGAAGTTGTTAAAGTTGGGGCCCTGGCTGGAATGTGAAAGAAATGATGGAGCAAAGGAGAACTTTGCCTTACGCTCGGCTTCTGCTAGTTCTGGTGATTTCATGTGCAGGTTGTCCAAAAAAGTTCTGCTAGCCAAGATGAATTTCTGAAATAATAAACTGTGGGTTTTTAAAGAGGCCTTTTGGGGGTACTGCTACAACCTGGTAGAGGTAAGTCTTTTCATGCCCCGCCGCTGAGCCAGACTGGAGGACAGTACAGGCTCCAGCCTTGGGGCCTGAGGTGCTCGGTTTAAAGCAAAGTAAGTGGCTGCCATTGCACCCTGCAAAATAGAGAAAGAGAAAAAGATGGGCTGAAATGATGTTCTTTGATGCTTTTCCTCTCCCTTCCCCTATTCAGTCCCTTGAAAAAATGGATGTGCATGGATGATTTCCATGAAATGATAACAACATTTAGGCTGGCAGACAGCTGGGGAGCGTCTGATTCAAAGTGGCGGGCAGCAGTATGTGCAGAGTGCCACCAGGTCATTACAATGCAGCTCGAAGTTAAAAATATCAAGCAGGTGACAGGTCAAAAGTCTTTACTGTTAATACAGTGCCAGATTACATTTGGCCTGTATGGCAAATAATGTTCCCAATTCCTCTATCACTTTCCAGAACATCTACACAAATGACAGCTCATTCTGCAAGGACGGAGGCGGCAGGGGTGTAGGATGTACCTTCACCAGGTGAACATCCTGTCTGCTGAGTTGGTTTTGAGACAGGTACTCCCGGTTCACTATCCATGGATGTCTTAGGACTTGGATTGCCGTGAGGCGCTGATGAGGATCTACGTGAAGCATCTTAGACACAATGTCCTGGGTTTAAAAGGAAGAAAACAGCAAAAGGGAAAAAGTAATTAATAGCAGTGCAGGATTTACTAAGATCTTCCCAACGGCAGTGTCATCACCAACATGTCCAATGGAGAAGGATGTACTTTAGATACGCTTTATATTTTTTAAGCTTAAAGTTTCATCTTCAAAATTTTCAAGTGCAATGTTCAATTCCCAGCTGATATTCTAGTCAAAAAATAATATGGAGGGTATTTGGCTTATTGAGTTAGTGTTAATTACTGGTGACCTCATAGGGGTGATAAACTCCACCTAGAGAGAATGCCATCTGGAGGCATATCCTCACTGACCCTAAAGCATATTGACAAGAGAAGCTTGGAATAGAAATCTAACAGTCAGGCGGCTAAAATTCAGTGAGATCAGTTCTACCACATCTGAATGTTTTAATTTCAAAACCGGACATCTGATAAAAAATACATTGTGAGGCTCATAGGTGTTGGTAGCAAGATTAATATGTTCCTAGGATTGCTTGCAGTTTTGTGGTGGGATATATATCAATGTTCTTCCATTGGATACTACCGGTTGCTAAAACTGAAATCTCTTGCAGAAATCTCTAAATCCTGTCGAAGTTTCTGATTAATGCCGGGCAACTGGAAGCTTGCCAGCGTTCCTGCCCATCAGCCTGTCTCATAGACTACTGCACAGCTTCATGGCCAAAAGTCTCAGCACCAGATGAATTTTAACTCTTGGGGTTTTCCATGCTTTGTGATAGATGGGCAGCCTAAACTGTGAACTGTGCATGAGTTAAAAATGCTAGTTTGTAAACTGCCTGCTCCTGGTTAACTTTGGGGAGCAAAAAGGTGATTCACGTATTGACCATACATTTGTGGTATTGACAACTCTACACTACTTTTAAAAGTTCAGTTGCACCAAAAAAAGAGTTCTGTGCTATTTAAATCTCAAGAGCATTCACAGCTGATGGTGTTATATTATGCTTTAGTTTAATGAAATAAACTACCAAAATTCCTGACACAGTATTTCATGCGGAGTGGTAGAAACATAAAGAAGCAAGCTTTTATTTCATGAGGCACTGAGAAATAACCCTTCTGACTATCTCTCTCTTAAGTTTCTTACAACTGCAGACTGCAAGCCCGTTTCAGAGAACACGAAAAAAATCTCAGAAAGCGTTCACTGACCTTTGCAGTATCAGATACCGAATCCCAGTTTCCTCCCGTAAGTGCATATTTGCCGCTGCCAATCCTGGCCAGAATCTCCTCTGGGGTGTCGTCTGGTCCATTTGCAAAAGGAGTGAACCTGTTGAAAAAGAGAGGAAAAAAATACACTGTAATTTGCAAGGATATGATTTCTAGGATGTAGTGCTAACTGCCACGGATT